CAGTGGCCGCTCACAATGGAGTCCCTTTGACGACAGCTCGACGTGTGATTCACAACAACCGTGCCAGTCGACTCAGCCGGGGTGGAGCGCGCCCGTCATTGACTAAGATCACCCCAGAGATCTCCTTTCGTCTGGAAGAGTACATCAACGAATGCTGCCAATACATGTGCAGGACAGACTATATGTAGAATTTGATATCAGCATCTCAACCTCAACAATCAGTCAAACTCTCTGTGGGAATCTGTACACAGTAAAACAAGTCCGCGTCGAACCCTCGACGTGCAACAACGATTTCAATAAAACCAAGAGAAAATCGTTCGCTGACACGTTACTCATGCATATGGCGCGTGGTGAATATATCGTGTATTACGATGAAACGAACTAGAATCTGTTCAGCAGGCGAACACAAGTTCGCACCAAGGTGGGCCAACGTACCGTCGCCGTGCTTCCACCGTCAAAGGGTGCGAATCTTCAGTTGCATTGCGCCGTATCGACAATCGACGGCCTCATCCTACACCGCATGCAACGGGGAAGCATTCGAATGGATCAGAACGCAGAATTTGCAGAAGATATCTACCTTACTGTCAAGTCGCTGCTATCGTTCCAAGCCGAGTTCTCCGGCATGGTCGTGGCCATTGTCCTTGACAACGCGCCCGACCACAGCCAAACTGAGGCCCGCATGCCTGGGCACGATGACTGCGTCTTGCTACGTCTTAGCCCGTACTCGCCGTTTACAATCCTATTGAGGGTTCCTTCAGCGTGCTGAAGGCTAAGATCAAGAAATTTCTCCTCAAGACGTCCGGAGATGCTTACCGCTGGTGTACACGCTACGTTGACTGAGGCACGAATGGACCTATTGTAACGTGCCGCTGTTGAATCATTGCCTTGATTGACTACCGTCTTGACGACAAAGATGTCTTTGCACTGTCTTGTGTCCGTCCACGCAGCCAGTCAACTGGAGAATATGCACTATGGAGAATAACTTTGTCAATACATGTATTGATCGAACGACGATAGACGGCCTACTCAA